GGAGTAGTTAATGGTGTGTGTCCCTACATCAAGTTTGAAGTTGCAGGGAATTTTCCTTGCAGCTCTAAACTTGTTGGGATTGTAATCATAGTTATAGGCATAAAACTTCCTACGTGCAGGAGGTGCTATTTCCTGTTTCCTCCTAGCAAACCTAGGTTGATAAGACCTATAGTTTTGTCTAGGTTGTGCATAGTGTGTCCTGTGTCGGTTATAAGCATACTTAGGTGGCACAAATAGCTTCTGGGGTGGAGGGTGACTGTATCTTGGCATAGGTCTCCACTCAGAATTTCTTGGAAAACTCCTGTCTACCCCATAATGAGTATAGCCTCGTGTATAGTAGGGGTTAGAGGGTTTTCTTCTGAAATTATTTCCTCTTTGAGGTCTGTCCAGCTTCCTATAGTTCTTAGGAGGGACTACCTTTTTGGAAACTTCTGTTGGTTTCTCCTTTTCCTTTCGTTTCTGCTTATTTGGTTTGGCAGTAGGTTTAGGAGGGATGAAGGTTGTTCTTCCTTTCCTTTTCGAACTAGAGGGGTCAAACCCAAGTCCTTCACGACCCTTATGTTTGGTTGTTTCAAGAAGCTTGTCCACTGCTTCTTTGGACTTAAGTATCCCTAGCTCTTTGTTAAGGAATTTCACCTTTTCAGAGAAAGATTCATTTTCAGTCTTGAGTTGAGTGATCTCATTCAGTTGACTTTTCCGACCTTCAGTCAACTTGAGATTCTCTTCACTCAATAGTTTGTTCTCCTCTGTTAAGGATAAGTGTTTGAGATTTATTTCCTCAAAATCTTCCATCATCTTTTTGAACTGGTCAAAAAGATTTTCAGAAGTTGGTATGCTTTCATAAGAAGATGAGCAGGAGGTTTGTGAAGTTACCTCTTGATCAGCATCATCTTTGGCCATTAGGCAGAGAGTGTCATCTTCTGACATAGTCCACTTATCCTCATGGTTGGACTTTTCAACTCTGCGCTCCATGCAAACGAGGGCTTCTTCATCCGAGCTTGAGCTGGATGACTCATCACTCTCAGCAGCAACCATTGCCTTCTTTTTCTTCTCGTTCCTTTCTCTTTCTCCGTACTTCTCAACCTTTGGGTACGGGCATGCTGACTTCTAGTGGCCAGGCTTCCTGCAGTTATAGCATAAGTAAGATTCAGGAGGGGAGTCACTTACTTGTGGCTTTCCCTTGGTTGGCCTTCTGATTGAATCAACCTTCTTGAAGAACATCTTAAACTTCCGGAATTGCTTGACCATCATGGCAAATTCCTCATCGTAGTTCTCCATTTTTGTGCTTGGCGGCTGGCTGGAGGAGGGTGTGTCACAGTTCCTTGGGCATGTCCCTTCACTTGATGGGACTTTTGGAGTTATCATCAGTGCCGTGGGGAAGGGAGTGACTTGTTCTTCCTTCTTCTTCTTCTTCAGCTCGTGCTCATAGGTTCTGAGCTCATCAAGGAGACCTTGGACAACGTAGTTTTCCAGGTTTCTTCCTTCTTCCATGGCTGCGGCTTTGGTATACCACTTGGTTGGAAGTGATCTCAGTAACCTTACATTCTTTTCTTTGGGAGAAAGAACGTGATTAAGTGAGGCAAGATCATTCAAGATTTTGTGGAACCTTTCATCCAACATATCAAATGATTCTCCGGGAAGCATTTTGAAGCCTTTGAACTTCTCAAGCAGGACTTCTATCTTCTGCTTTCTCAAGTCCTCTGATCCCTCACATAGCTTCCCAAGACCTTGCCAAATCTCCATGGCAGTCTTGAGATGCTTAATTTTGGAGAAGGTGATGGGATCAAGTGTCTTGAAGATGGCTGCTTTGGCGACGTTGTCCAGATTGTGCTTTTTACAATCTCTATCATCCCATTTTTTCTTGGGCTTTGGAATGTACTGGACTACATCTGGAGTTGCTGGATTCCTCTCAAGATTCTCCATTTGAATTTTCAAGGGTCCATCCTCAAGCACCATCCACATGCAGTCATGTAGAGCGTAGAGATGTGCTTCCATCATGATCTTCCAATCATCATAACCTAAGAGAGAAAACTTGGGCAAACCGTGATCCATATTGTTCACCATTATGATCGCTTCTCGTTAATCTAAACATAGATAGTGAGTAGTTTGCTCTGATACCAATTGGTGGTCCCAAAGTGGTGAAATACAAAGTCTAGAGGGGGGGTGAATAGGCTTTGTTACAGATTTAAAATCTTTTTCGTTTCTTTTGAAAACGTGAAAATAAGTGTTAATCTAGAGTTCTTGTGAACTTTAGATTGTGTGCGGAATTTGGTGGGTAGAGTGAGCAGTAATCAATATGGATGGGTTAGTTTTCACAGTTAATATAATCGCAAGTAAGAGTAAAGATAAAAGAGAGAGAAACGCAAACTTTAACGAGGTTCGAAGGTGGGGTAATCCTTCTATGTCCTCAAAATCCACTATGTAGTTGGTTGTTGAATAATGAACCAACAATTACACTTGTGTGAATTTCTGCACGGTATATCTTCGCAAGGCCAATGTTGCTACTGCACTCGTGCTGGCTTTGTTGTTCCTTCGAAGGTCAAGCTTCTTCAACAACTGCAATGTCCGAACAATAGGACTTGCAAGATCAACTTGTGAGAAAGTTGACCTACCCCCTTTCAATCAAGAAGTTTGATCAAAAGTTGTATCCTTCAACGTGGTGTGGTACTTGAGGCAAGGAAACCTTCAAGTGTTTGCACTATAGCTCTCTGGAAGGAGGAGGAGTTTGCTTCTGGATAAGGAGTTTAGAAATCTCTCTTTATCAAGCTTTTTGGGCTAACTGTGAATGAGATAGCTTTGTTGTTAGAGATTGCTTCGTTGTCTATTCATTCATTCACACACTTCTCCAGTCTTCCAAGGGTGCTATTTATTGCTGGATTGGATAATCTATCCGTTGAATCATAATAGACTATCCGTTGCATTTGCTGGCTTCAATTTTGAATGAAGATTGCGATTTGAAGATTCCTCATTGGAATGAGTGTTTGGACATACCCAATTGTTTGAGGAGGGATTCCTTTTTCCACAGAATCCGTCTTCTAGCTGTTGTTCAAGAATTCAGAACTGTAGCACTTTACTATGTTTGTCTTCTAGTGCTTGTTTAGGAATTCTGGACAGACTCTTCATTTTTAGAGGTCCAGACTTTGTCTTCGAGTCATTTGTTCTTGAATCAGCATAATTAGCTTCAATCTAGCCGTTGAAAATCAAGAGATTGATTTTTCCTTACCAACGGGTAGAATTTCTTCATTCAAGACTTAGATAATTTTTCTAAGTCTTTTCTCACTTGTCCGCTTTTTTGAGAATTCCGATCTTCAATGAGTCTTCCGATTCTTAGCTGACAAATCCGGAGGAGTCATTCTCAGACTTCCGGGTGAGAAAGAAATCCGCGCAAGTCTTCCGATTTGGATGACTTAGCCTTCAGCGGGTTGTAGCGAGATATCCGGTTCTTATGTAGTCTTCCGGATCAGAGGATTTTCATTTGCTTGAGAAATCCTTACTTGTCTCTGACATTTCCGATCAAGATATCCAATTTCCATATCACTGAATTTGATTAAGTCTTCAGGCATCAAAACGCTTAAAGAAATATCACCGCTTTATTGGAAATCTCAAGAACTCAGTTTTAACAATATTTCTAAAAAGAAAAATTACATTGAATATTGGGGGAGACCTAAAGTCCCTATTACATGTTAAATACATCATCATCAAAATCTATAATATTTTTCCCAACATCAGGACTCTTGTGAAGAGAAGGTTTAAGAACAGTAGATTCATAAGTTTTAAGATTACCTCGAAGGCCATCGATGGTGACATTGGTGTTACCAGTTGACTCATATATGGCATCGGGTTTTGAACGCCATTCCGGTGTTAAGCTCTGAAGGATCTTTCGAACAAGATCTTTGTTTGAGTATGTTTTACCAAGGACATGGAGATCGTTGATGATCTTTAAAAATCGGTCGAACATTTGATCAACGCTTTCAATTTTCTTCATTTTAAACAACTCATATTCATGGGTTAGAAAATCAATTTTAGCTTAACGGACTTGAGGCGTACCTTCGTATGTCACTTCAAGCTTATCCCACATTTCTTTTGCGGTGGAGCAAGAAGAAATTTTCCGGTAGTCATCTGGGTTAATTGCACAAAAAATCACGTGTTTAGCTTTTTCAAAAGCTTCTACCTTCTTGATGTCTTCAGCATCATATTCTTCCTCCTTCTTTGGGATGGTGGTTGCACCAACCTTTTTCATTGGCATCGTCTCACCGTTTTTGATGATTAACCACAGTTGGAAGTTGATTGACCGAATGTAAATCCTCATTCGTTCCTTCCAATAGGTGTAGTTTGTTCCATCGAAGAGTGGAGGTCTAACGGTGGAGTGTCCTTCGCTTAATTCTGCATACGACATTCTCAACAGAAAATATAGATCGTTCTCACAATCGGTTAAGGCTTGTAGAGAGTTAGGCTCTGATACCAATTGTTAGAATAAGTGCCCTTCACAAGATTTATACTGGTTCACCACAATGTGTGGCTAGTCCAGTCTCCCGAGAGACTCTCTCGAGCTACACTACTTCCGTTAAGCTTACGGGTGCTTAACAAACCGTTACAACCTGAGAACTCGAGTCCCACGAGCCTCAACAACACTTGCTCGGAGATACCGCACTCCAAGACTTCAACCCGAAGGAATATGCCCTTCCTTCGTACAACCAAGGGAACAAACCTCCCTTAAAGTGTTCACAACACTTAACCACTCAAGAAAAAAAACTCTCTTAAAGAGTAGAATATGAGTAAACTAATTTAGATCAAGAACACACTCAATTCCTCAAGAAATGGCTCTAAAAAGCTATGTAAAAAGTTTATGGAATGATGCAATGTAAAGCTTCGAAATGTGTGAGGAGTGGATGTGAAAATTAGACCCAAGAGACCCCTTTTTATACCCAAAAACAAATTGCAACGGTTGGGAAAAGATTGGGGTTGAATGGCTTGATTTGTGGAAATCAAATAAAAGTGGATCTACTGGAATCTAGCCCGACAGCGCTGTTCATATAGTGAACATCGCTGTTTTGGCTTTTACTTTCCTTTAAAAATGGCTAACGGTAATCAAAACATCGATGTCTAGAAGTCTACATCGATGTTGGGGTGTTTGACTTTCAAAAATGGAAAGATTTTGTCTTAAATAGCCCAACGGTCATTTGAAAACATCGCTGTTCAACCATGAACATCGCTGTTCAAAAACTTACTGTCCAGGGCTTCTGAAGGCCAACATCGATGTTGGGATTTCCGACATGCATGTTGGGATGGTTTGCCAAAACCATGGTTTGGCAGCCAACGCCTAAAACCGATGTCAAAAACCAAAGTTCTCCAAAATGAAAACCAAGTGTTGGAAACTCATATAAAATGTATTTTATGTAGAAACCAAGTATAAAAACTTAAAAACCACTTCATTAAGGTAAAAATCACGGCTAGCCAAGTTTATGCCGTTTCACATGGTTTTCACCAAAAGACCAAAAACGAAAGGTGGTTTTTAACATGTTTTTGTTGGAGAACTATTTGGATATGTCCAGAAGTAAAAATCAATCATAAAATATTTAAAACCACTTGATTGATTTGGGCGCCAAAAACCAACACCGAAAACCGGCGCCGAATGCCGATAACCAACGCTGAAAAACAAAAGTTATGGTTTTTGAAAACTAATGATTTGGAAAAACTTTAAATGTGTCCAAAAGCATAAACCAAAGATAAAAACCCAAAAACCATTTGGTTAAAATCAATGCCAATGACCAATGCCGAAAAACGAATGCCATAGCCGAACGCCGATGGTTATGGTTTTGGTTAAGCAAGAACCATGGGTTTTAGAAACTTAAAAACCATTTATGAAAACATTAATTTGATACATGAAAAACATATTTTGTTTTGAGCCATGATGTAGAGAAATTGAATGAGCTTGTTACAATAAAACCTAAGTCTTTAGAATACGTCTTCAAAGCGCCAATGTCGCCATCTTTAGCAACGTCAATGCCGTTCTTGTGCTTTTTGTTTCTTCAAAGAACTTTTTCTATCTTTTCATTTTGTTCCATGTTCCCGACGGTTTGTCAATATCAAAACCTAAACGGAAACAAACATTGTCATTAGCAAAATGTCAAAGTGAAAATGTTTTCCAACATAGCGGAGTACAAAATGGAAGCAAATTTAAAAAGCATAATAAATAAATAAAAGAAGAGAAAAGAGCGAGCTCTAGAAATCCTGTGAAAGATCATCGAGAAGTTGTTCTTCGTCAATATCTTCCTCTTCATCTTCATCTTCATCGCCATCATCGTCATCATCATCATCATCATCATCATCATCATTTTCTTCTTCTTCTTCTTCAGCTTCCTCTTCCTCTTCTTCAATGTCTACTATTTCTTCCCCACCAACGTTGTTAGTCCCACTTGGTTCACCACCGAGGTAATTTGGCGGAGGAACATAAGGGACCATTTGAGCGTAGGGGTAGTTGACAAAGACAAAATACCCGTGAAGCTCACGGCTCAAAATATTGACGTTTTGGGCCGTTTGGGAGATGTTGGTGTCTATCCGAGAAAGGGTGGCGGTCAAGGCGGCCATTTGCTCGGCGAGAGAAGGGTTGGTCGAAGCGGTGGCTCTTGTTTGGCGGCGAGGATGAGGCTGCGGGAACGTGGATTCATCGATTCCCAGGTGGAAGGAAGACTCATCAATCTCCCAATGCTTCGTTCCTTTGCATTTCGGCCCGACGTCCGTCTTGATGTGGAACTCATCAAGGATCGCCATGAGAAGAAGAGCATAGGGAAGCGGCCGGTTGTCGGAGGTGGCATTGAACATGTGAGTCATCACAAACTTACACCAATTGATATTGGCGTTGTGAATCATCGCATGGGTCGTCTTCGTGTCCTCTTGGGAGAGAGTGGTGTGATTGAACTTCCTAGGCTTGAGAATCTGTGTCAAAACATAAAAAATGGAAGTAATCGTAGGGCGCCGCTGTTTGGGAGTGGGGACGAAGTTTCGGATACCCACTTCTTCCAAGAGGGCGGTCTCGTTGAACCGCGCACCTTCTTCTCCGACATAGAGGCCGAGATCCCCTCCATTCCGACGAAGCCCGTTGAGAATTTGAATGTTTTCCTCATTCAAGTAGATCTCCACCCCGTTGACGTTTGAAATCAATGCTCCGTCCTCATCCTTTTTCAAGTTCGAGTAGAAAGCTCGAACAAGAAAAGGTTGATAATGGTGCTTCTTGATGTAGAGGAGGTCGAGGAAGTTTCCTTCTTGGAGGATGACCCGTGCCTCCCGTGGAATTGAGCTGTGAATGAAGCGGCCAGTGGAGAACCGGGGAGGGAGAATTTCCCGGTGCTCAAACTTCTCCAAGAATCGCGTCGCCTCAGCGCGGTCGTTGAACCAAAGGAACGACCCGTCGAGGTACTTGTGCATTGGCGGTGGAGGAACCGAGGAGGAAGCCACGTTCTTGCCGGTGCGGGAGCGCTTTCTTTGACCTCCTGCCATTTCAACAAAGTAGGGAGGAGAACAAGGCAAATTTGCAGGGATTTTGCAAAAAGAATGAAGAATAATTGCAGGAATTTGATGAAAGATGAAGAATATATTGAGAAAAGATGATTGGAATGAGTAGAAGTTGAGTAGAGTTCACCAATTTATAGAGGTTGAGGCTTAGAGATCCGTTGGGGTGGTCAAACAAGGATTAAATGCTCTCCAAACGGATAGAAAACGGTCAAAATTTTGAAAAGTCACCGTTGTAAATCGATTTACACAACCGGTAAATCAATTATCTGACGCCTCTGATTCTCCGCTAAAGGATCTGCAGTCCTAAATAGTCGATTTACACAGTTTTGATAATCGACTATCGCTGATTTGCGCCTGAATTCAGAGAAGGTTCTGCAGCCTCTAATAATCGATTATCATGATTTGAATAATCGATTGTTGAGGTTTGCGGTTGATTTGCTCCAATCTTCTGTGGTTAGTGATAATCGATTATCAGAATCCTGTAAATCGATTTACACCAAGTCTGGAAATCAGTAATCAATTCTCTTTGTCCCCCTTGACTTTGACACCTGAAAATAAAATTAAAAGAAGAGCCCTGCAAAAAAGAGTTTAAAATGTCTCCGACGTTCAAGTTAGTAAGGACCAAAAATGATAATTAATGCACAAATTAGATCATCGTGGAGTCAAGGATTCCGAGTTCAATACAAATGCGGAAGAAGGACTCTTTCTCTAAAGGTTTTGTGAAAATGTCGGCTAATTGGTTGTGTGTTTCAACAAACTCAATTTCGACATCACCTTTGAGAACATGATCTCTAATGAAATGATGCCTAATGTCAATATGTTTCATCCTTGAGTGAAGAACCGGATTCTTCGTCAAGCTTATGGCGCTAGTATTATCACATCGAAGAGGAACGTGATCGATACTAAGGCCATAATCCACTAGTTGTTGCTTCCTCCAAAGGATTTGAGCACAACAACTATCGGCGGGAACATATTCCGCTTCGATTGTGGATAACACAACACTGACTTGCTTCTTACTAAACCATGAAACTAAAGAGCTACCAAGCAAGTGACACAACCCACTCGTACTCTTACGGTCTAGTCTACAACCAGAAAAGTCCGAGGGACAATAGTCTACAAAAAGATGACAAGGAGACCCTTTGGGGTACCATAGTCCAACGATTATTGTACCAACAAGATATTTCATTATCCGTTTCACCGCCGTTAAATGCGATTCTTTCGGACAAGATTGATACCTTGCACATAAACAAACGCTAAACATGATATTGGGTCTACTAGCAGTAAGATAAAGAAGGGATCCGATCATACCTCGATACTTCTTTACGTCTACTTCCTTACCCTTTTCATCTTTGTCCAAGTGTTTGGAGGTGCTCATCGGGGTAGCCATTGCCTTGGAGCCATCCATTTCAAATCTCTTTAGGAGATCCTTGCAATACTTTGATTGACAAATGAAGGTCCCTTCCCTCATTTGCTTGACTTGTAACCCCTAGAAGAAATTGAGTTCCCCCATCATGGACATCTCAAATTCATTTGTCATTAAGATTGAAAATTCCTTGCACAAAGATTCATTAGTAGCACCGAATATAATGTCATCTACGTAAACTTGCACCAAAAGGATGTTATCGTTTTTACTCTTGATAAAAAGTGTAGTGTCAACCTTCCCCCTTTTGAACCCGTTGTCTAAAAGAAATTTGCTCAAACGTTCATACCAAGCACGAGGTGCTTGTTTAAGACCGTAGAGTGCTTTCTTTAGTTTATAGACATACTCCGGGTGCTCATAATCCTCAAAGCCCGGGGGTTGATCAACATACACTTCCTCTTGAATAAAACCATTGAGGAAGGCACTCTTAACATCCATTTGGTATAGTTTAAAATCCATAGATGAAGCAAAAGCGAGTAATAAACGAATAGCTTCTAAACGTGCTACCAGTGCATAAGTTTCTTCAAAATCAATGCCTTCTTCTTGATTGTAGCCTTTAGCTACGAGCCTAGCTTTGTTTCTAATGATTATCCCATTTTCATCGAGTTTGTTACGGAACACCCATTTCGTACCAATTATGGTATGATCATCGGGTCTTGGCACCAATTCCCAAACGTCATTTCGTTTGAATTGGTTAAGCTCCTCTTGCATTGCCAAGGTCTAATGTTCATCATCAATTTCTTCCGAAATGGTTGTAGGTTCAATTTGTGAAACAAAAGTCATGTGTCCTACGGTGTCCCTAAGAGAGCTACGAGTACTTACCTTTCGGTTGATGTCACCGATTACCTTGTCAAGAGGATGGTCCTTTGAGATTCTCCATGCCCTTGGAATTGGCGTCTCTTCCTCTTGTGGTTGTTCCTCGTTCATAGGTGGCTCTACTTCTTCGGCTTGGCCTTCCTTTGAGTTGTTTCCTTCGTCATTGTCGTTGAGATAGATGTTCTCCAACGAATCTACAAGATCATCACAAGAAACCTTTCTCGCCAAGCGAGCATCATTTTCGACAAAGACAACATGAGGAGACTCCTCAACGGTTAAGGTGCATTTGTTGAAGACTCTATAAGCCTTACTACGCAATGCATAACAAAGAAAAATTCCTTCATCCGACTTTGCATCAAATTTACCCAAGTTATCTTTTCCGTTATTGTGAACAAAACATTTGCAACCAAAGACTTGAAGATGGGAGAGGTTTGGCTTTCTTCCTTTGTATAATTCGTATGGGGTTTTCATGAGTATCGGTCTAATTACGGCTCGGTTTAACACGTAGCTCGCGGTACTCACGGCATCCGCCCAAAAATACTTAGGAATTTTTGCCTCATCGAGCATAGTTCTAGCCATCTCCTCGAGACAACAATTTTTACGTTCCATCACGCCATTTTGTTGTGGTGTACGTGGAGCGGAGAAGTTATGCTCGATGCCTAGTTCGTCACAAAACTCGGTAAAGAGATCTCGTTCGAACTCTCCACCATGATCACTTCGTATGGCTACTGTGGTTAAACCTTTTTCATTTTGAACCTTTTTGAGAAAAGTTTTGAAAACATGAAATGCCTCACTTTTATGAGTTAGAAATAATGTCCATGTGAATCGAGAGTAGTCATCAACAATCACAAAGGCGAAATAGTTTCCCCCAAAACTTTTTGTTTTTGATGGTCCAAAGAGATCCATGTGCAAAAGTTGTAAGGGCCTTGTTGTAGACACAACATTTTTAGATTTAAATGAGGCCCTTACTTGCTTGCCCTTTTGACATGAATCACAAATGGTGTCCTTCTCAAACTTTAGTTTTGGAAGGCCAACTACTAGGTCTTGTGAAACCAATTTATTCAAAAGGTTCATGTTGACATGAGCTACTCTATGATGCCATAGCCACATATCGTCCTCCTTACTCATGAGACATTTGGCAAAGTCGGAGGGAGATTCATCTAAGTTAACCATGTAAATGTTATCAATTCTATCACCACGAAGAATCGTCTTATTGTCACTAAGACGTTCTTGAAAGGTAATCATGCATGGATAGGCAGCGGAATATAAAAATTTTAACATCCTAACATGATTATCTTGCCTAGAATCACGTACTAAAACATATAGTGAGTAAGAAATTTATACCTTTCTCCTTAAGCGGTAAAAATGAAGAAGTCGTAGGAAGAGCGTTGAAAGTGCAAACGTAACCGTTCAAGCGTCCGGTCTCCAACTTTGACACACGAACAACGCCGGAGTCTGCCACAATCTTTATGCTAGTAAAGATTATAGTAGTATAAAATATAAAGATTAAAATTGGGATAATAATAATCTTGTATATTTCTTATAGAAAATATTTCTAATAATATTTAGAAAATATTATAGATATTTTCTATACACAAAATGATATTAATGGAACACAAAATATTTTCTCTCACTAGAAAAATTATGGCCGAATCATGCATGCCAACCATGGCCTAATTTCACACCATTTATTTAGAAAGTGGCGTGCCAAAAAATGTAAATAAAAACAAATGATTAATTTGACTTTTTCATTAACTAAATGACAAAACATTATTAGCTCCACTAATGTCAATCAAGGAAATTTGATTCTTTAAAATCTCCACTTGGCCGTATGTTTGTATTTGAGAAGGATATTCAAAATTCTTCTCCACTTAAATGTTCAAAGTGTATTTTATTTGACATCAAAAATTAATATAAAATTAATTTTAAATCAAATAAAATATCAATATCATTTTTAAACAAGTATACAAATATACTTTAAATAGTTTATGTCAAAATAATTATTTTTCATAATTAAAATGACAAACCAAAATAAAATATTCAATATATAATATATATATATTAATCGGTACAAATATATAATATATATATATATATATATAATATATATATATATATATAAATATATATATATATATATATAACCGAATATCATACATATAATATTATATTCCAAAATATTTTATTTTACTATTTTACAAATATACAAATTACTTATTATCCATTGTTTAATCTTACTCCTTAAATTGTCCAAAGTGTGTGACCCGTATAGGCACTTATAAAGCTGGACACAGTATTGGTTCTACACCAATACTATAAGCAATAAGCGGTATCTAGCAACACATTATTGCCCCCAGATTATCACTACGCCAAAAACAGTATCAGACGACTGTTGATTAACTACTGTTTATGGAAACACAGTAGTTTAAAAAAAACAGACTACTGTGAGTTTTTCTTGGCTACAGAACAGTAGTCTAGCTACTATGCTTTAAAAATGTTTTTAAAGTTTCGAGAAACAATAATCTATCACTAGTTGTCTGTGTCAGTTCAAAATACAGTTTTTGTTACAACAGTTGTCAATCACAAGTTAAGAATACTCTTTTTAAACAGTAGTATGGTGTTTTAGTCTAGAACTGTTTTTAAACTTATTAGAAACAGTTATCTATTGTTAGTTGTCTGTTTCATATAGTTTTTTTGCAACCGTCGTTTCTAATGGGAATAGAAAACTCTATTGTAACAGTAGTCTATGAATTAAGGGTAGAACTGTTTTTAAAGTTGTGAGAAACGGTAATATTTTATTAGTAGTCTGTTTCACCTAAAAATACAGTTTTTGTTGCCACAGTTGTCCATAATTAGTTAAGACTACTATTTCTAAACAGTAGTCTGGTGTTTCAGTTTATAACTGTTTTTAAACTTATAAGAAATAGTATTCTATTGTTACTTGTATGTTTCATATGATTTTATTTTGCATAGTTGTTTGTTATAAAAATAGAAGACTCCCTTGTCGTAGAACTATTTTTAAAACTCATAGAAACTGTAATCTATTACAAGTTGTTAATATTAAATTAAGAATACATTTTTTAAACAGTAGTTAGACTATTAATCCTAGAACTATTTTCAAAGTTTTGAGAAACCGTAATATATTACTAGTAGTGTGTGTCACACGTTTTTTTCACGGTTATCTATAATAACTTAAAAAACTGTTCTTAAGAGAATTGTGCGTATTAAGCCTAGAACTATTTTAAAAGTTAAGAATAATCGTTTTAAAAAGTAGTCTAGCTCTTAAGCCTAGAACTATTTTAAAGGGAATTGAAAACTCATACAAACAATCAATCTCACTTCATAAAACCAAAAAACAATAAGAAGATGGCGAGATGCAAATAAGAGTTCACAAAATTTAATAAAAACAAAATTAAGAGTACATTGGCTTGCTTCAATCCAAAGTAGAAAACAAAAAAACCACAATGAATGAAAATCCATATTCTAGCCGTTTGGATAAAAAAATATAAACAATCGAACTCAATCAGATAAGAAGTTTAAAGTATTGAACTAAAAAAAATTTTATATCAAGTAGTTAAGTTTGACACTCTAATCCCAAAAACATCACTAATGTTTTTTTTAAAAAAAATGTTGAAACAAAATGAAATTAATTTAAAACATTGGCTTTTCCTTAAATCCAAAGGTCAAAGATATGTATTGTCATTAACTCAATTAGCCTCCAAAGGCCAAACCATTGCATATGCTATGCCACCACTATAAATATCATCAAACAATATGGAGTGCAAGGAAGAAAATAGTAGATTACTAACTACCACGTAAAAAGACCAAATCTTGAAGGTAAGAGTGCCAATTACACAAAGATTGGTTTTTAGCCATGGTTTTACTCTCCCCATAGACTTAAGCTTGACCCTTTAGCTTTGTGGAAGAGGGAACAACATCATCACCCCTCTTAGTCTTTCCCGCACTACTGGTTTTGGCATAGCAGCATCACCATTACCATCCACAATAGATTCATCTCTTCATACATTTTTTGTACATGGATCTTTGATCGGCCATTGAAAACAACCAAGGTAATAAAGTAAATAAAACACAAAATGTAAATTTTTTATATGTAGAAATCTTAAAAATGTTAAGGCTAAAGAATGAGGGGCTATAAATTGGTGTGTTTATATATGGAAATTTCATATAAGGAGTCAAAATTTGAAGAGCCAAATTTGAAGAGCCAAAATTTAAAATGAGGGGCTGCGCTTCAAAAGCCAAATTTGGATTTCCAATTTATAAAGAGTATGCAGAGTATCCCTAACACCAAGCCAAGAACATATATCCAAAGTATCAGAGGTAATCAAATTGAAAGATATGAAATTGAACAAAAAACAGAATGCAGTAACAACCTCATGATGCACAAAAAACATAATGGGCAGTAACAACCTCTGAAACAAGACCTTGCACTAGAGGGGGTCTTGTTCTTCGAGTTGACATCTTGGACTTCTTTTCTAGAGATGCTTCCTCAATCTGTTGGGTGCAGGGCTAAAAAAAGAGGGACAAAACAAGCAGTAATATATATAGATGTTAAGGTTATCCGCTGGCATGCCAAAGGGCCATGGCCCGAGTGCTGAGCCTTCATTCATTGATGCCCTCGTGTAACATGTAAATTATTATTACCGAAATCAAACAAATACTTCAATGTCAAATGCTTAACCATAATTATGGTTACGTGCGTAGTAGACGGTTTCAATCCTAGACTACTTCAAATAATTACATCAATAAATAATTACAACTCAAAAATAGTAACGCATAAGTTAGAAACAAATTAAAGTTCAAGACAACAACCCACAAGAATAGTAGGCTAGTGATGTAGTGATCCAAAAAGGTGGCGAGACAAACACCAAGTAGCATGAAGGAGACACCAAATTCAGCCATAAATTAAACCATAGAATGCAGTAACAATCTCATGATGCACAAAATCCATTCCAGTGTATTTCCCAACAAATTCGCAAGACCAACTCAAAGAAATCCATGACTAAGACCAAGCCCAAGCAATACTAGTCAAGTACATTCCATACAAAAGAAAGAAGATACATTCGAATCATAAAATGCATAAAAACTAAAATACCTAAAATATATAATAATAATAATAATAATTGTTTGAACAAAATTTAAAAAACAAATCTCTTCCAATAAGTAACAAAACTCTGCATTTAATTATTCTAATAAACTCAATTGCATAAAGTCGGGTCCATTTCGTTGTCGTCATCTCAAAAGCATAAAGATTTCATTGAGTCCTTGCTAAGTGGTTTAGAATGTGGTGAACTCACTTTCCTCAAGTGCTATTCATAAAACCCATACAATATGATGTTTTCAATGAAATGGAAAATAGTTAAATAAAATTTATTTAGATTCAACAAAACATTTGGGTCTTATTCAAGCATCTTGGAAAAGTTGACAGCAACAAATTATAAAGAATAAGTACAGCACGAATTTTATCAGCAGAAATGATAAAATTTTATTCAAATTGAATAACATCACACCTTGATTCCAAATCTACGAAACAAATACTTATGGATTGATTCCAAACAAATCTAAGAAACATATAATAAGAACAACACACCTCGATTCCGAACCAACGCCGAGTTAGATGCCCAAATATTTTGCTGATACAAATACTTACAGATTAGCAAATTGATACAGAACAAACAGTTTAACAAATTAAAATTAAAATTTGTGTAGAACCTGGAAAAATATATGTGTACGGTGAGCGGGGGGGGGGGAATGGAAATTCAGCAAGGCTAGACTCATCTGAAAAATATGGTGTGGCTAAAATTAATTGAATGAGATAGGGTTGAAAAGAGGGGGATGCCAAATGCTTTTTGGGAAATTCCAGCGCCCAAATTTTGGGAAAGAGGGATCAGAATATTTTTGGGGGATTCAAAAATTTTGCCTTACTTTACACACTTCTTAAATTTGTACTCCTTTCAATTTATATTATCTGTTTCGATTAACATTATTTGATAAATTTTATTTTTAAATCATTTTACATGAAAAATGATGTAAAAATAAAAAATAATGGGATAATAGCATGGGTGCCCTCGTGGGTTACAAAAGGAGCACCAAAACCCCTTCTACTTTCAAAAGTAATTTGTAAAACCCCTGTGGTTTTAAATAGTGCAAAGACGCCCCCTCTTGCCTATTTTTAGACATAAAATGACATTTTTGCCCTTTATTTTTCTCTATCTTCAAATTTCACTTTTTTATTTGCATTTTTTTTATACAAATAATAAAATAAAATATGCGCCCTCTTTCTCAAATTAAAATTTTTCATTTATTAAATTTCCAAAAAAATAAGTTTTTTTTTTAGAAAATGTTACAAAAGAAAATGAAAAATTTAAAAATGAAGTAAACTACACTTTTTCATTATAAGTAAAAGTAAAATAAATAAAGTAAAAAATTAGAGAACATATACTCACTCTATCTCTAAATAAAAATTCTAACTTATTTATTTTTTAAAAGTAAAATAGTTTTTTAAGGACTTTAAAAATGAAGAACAAAAAAATGAAAAAAAATAGAGTTAAAGAAAAGACCGATTTTTATATTTTTCTTTCTTTTCATTACCTTTTTCAATTACTATTTTTACTTTGTACATAATATTTATTTTTCATTTTCTTTTGTAATATTCTCCAAAATAAGTAAGGGGGCGTGTGTGCTCTATTTAGAAACCATAGGGACTTTACAAGTAACTTTTAAAAACAGAGGGAGTTTTGACGCTCTTTATGTAAACCACGGGGGGCAAGCATGCTATTAGCCCATAAAATTACTAAGGATAAACTTTCTTACCAAATGTTTGTTTTTCTTTGTATTTTTTTAAAGTTTTTCCATATTATCTACGTTCTACTCTCCTCATCTCATTTGAATCTCTTTATTGCAGGTATTGATAATGTAAATTACCTGACTGGGTAAACAGTACTAGACCGGGTTTGGAATTGTTTACTAGATTCGGAAAAGTAAAAGGTAAAACACACAAAATAACCAGAATGACTGTATGTAGAAACACGGGTAGCCCAATTAATATTCGAATATAGTAGAGTGCACGAGAGCTTTTACACGAGAGTTTTAGTGGGAAGAAATTGGATCCCCTTCTTTGAGGGTTACAATGGTATTTAAAGTAAGCTAGAGGAGACAATGCGTCGCACATCCACGTCAGGGCACATTCCTGGGAGGTGCGAGGCGACTGTCTATGTCCTCTAGTGGCCTTGTCACCTAGTGAGGAAGGTGACTGTCAATTAAGTTGTTTTTTTAAGATTTGATCTTAATAGATTTGAATTTGATTTGATTAGATCTATTTTGGTCTGATTCAATCTAATTAGATCCGATATGATTTTTTTAAATATTTGATCTGATTTTACTAGATTTGAATTTGATTTGATTCGATATATTTTGAAGATTTGATCTGATCTTATTGGATTTGACTTTGATTTATTCCGATTAGATCTGTTTTTGTCCTATTTGATCTAATTAGTCCGATTAGTTGTGTATAAAACTCTTTTAATTTGATCTAATCTAATCTGATATGATGAGATCTGATTTCATTAGATATCATCTAAGCAACATATAAACATGTTAAATTGAGATGTAGTAACTCACATGAAATATGCAAGCAATAAGATCTGATTGAATTTGATTTGATCTTAAAGTATCTTATTTGATTATATCTAATCTGCTAGATCTAATTCTAGTTATATTTAAAAACTCTTTCTAGTTAGATCTAATATTGATTGATTTAATTTTTTTAAAAATTAATTAATGTTAAATGTTTTGAGTAATTTGTTTGAAATGAAATCTAATAATTTAATCTGAAATTGAGTCAGGGGGTCAATGGGGTGACCCTGTAACGTCGTAGAACGCTGTAACGCCCTAGAACCAGGTGGAACTTGATGGTGTAAATTACTTGACCGGTCAAACTATACTAGACCGGGTCTAGAATAGTCGGCTTGATTCAGTAAAGTAAAGGAAGTAGAAACACTCAGAATGACCGGTAGGACTTTAGGTGGAACACCTGTAGCCCGAATTATATTAAAATAGAGAATGCACGGTTACTTTTACAAGGGAGTCTAGAGAGAGTGAATTCGGATCCCCTTCTTCGAGGGTTACAAGAGGTATATATACTAAGTTGGGGGGACAGGACCACGTGCGCCCACGTGGGGGCACGCTGCCACTGGGGTGTGAGGCGACTGGTTCTGAGCGGCCTTGTCGTCTTG